CTGTGCCGCAGCACTTTGCGGCTGGACATTGGTATTGTCCTTGCTTTGGGGTCATCCCCATGTGTGACTCAAGTGGCGTCTTAGCATCCAAATGATAGGCAGCAACCAAGCGTTGGATTTGCGCAAGGCTTGCTGCGGCGCATGCCTCCTGCAGCTCAATGACCCGTCAGCAGATGGTGCAGCAGAGGTGCAGGGGCCCAGTCTGGCTACACAGATTTCCACAGCTGGAATAGAAGTAGCGCTTGGCAAAACAGCTGCACTTACCAAGGCTGGGGAGGCCTCAGTCGCAAGCCGCTGCAGCGAGCGCCTTCGCAACCGTGCCAAAGCGGCGGCGGCCATCGAAGGTTTCGTGGTGTTACAAACTTCTTTTGTCCAGTCGGCAGCAGATTGCACTCAGCTTGGCCTGCTACTGTGCGTCTTGACCCAAAACCTTTTGATCTGGACGAAGGCTGCCTGCACGTCTTCCACTTCCGCTGCATCCAAGTCTGGGCTGGTGTGGAGAACTCCTGCCCGCAGTGTCGCTCCCGGTTTCGCCGTTTCGGTGAGTACAGCCTTGTGTCCGGCGAGCGCAGGCGCTGGGATTGGATGACTTGCCTTCTTGCCTTCAGGTATCTTCGGATCAGTTGGATGACAGGGTAGTCCAGTAGAGAAGACGTTTGGTGGTGGCACGCTGCTGTCTACTCCTCTGTGGCAGGAGAATTTGCGAGGTGGAGCAGCGCGATCAGGCACCCATGAAAGCCGTTCAGATCTGTTCGGGTTCATGAGAGCTCTCATCTAGCCAAACGTCAAAGGCACAGTGTTGGGATTCACGGTGCAACGTTGCCAAGGCCCTCCCCCTTCCCCACCCACGGTCATGGTCCGTGCTGTCTGCATAATGAGCTGCCGCCACAATTTTTTGGTGGTTCTCCGTGGGATCGTTTAATCTAGCATTCACCTGAGATTTGTTGCCGTGGGAAGACTCCTGAATACTCTGTATTTACAGGGGTTGAGCCCAGAGAAAACCACCCTCTAAATTATGTCTCTCCAGATCGGACTACCATTTCGAGGCAGTGCCTTCTGCAATCCAAGACTCCTAGCCACATCTCGGAAATCACCACACAAATCCTCGTCATTTGTATGCAGCTACTTAAGGGAAGTAGAGCCATGCCTCCAGGCAAATGGATTCTAAGTTCTATGCAGCTGACTTTAAATCAGATCTATCCATCGAGTGCAGTTGTAAAAAGATCTAACCAAATGAGACGCCGCCCTGGTTTTGCAGGAGCTTTAAAGCCTTCAAGTATTCAAGTAAAGATTCGGAGCATTTCTCAGTGTTTGCGGGATGGGCATACCATGGGGGTGTGTGGTAACACCGTGGGTTTCAATTGCTTGTGGACAGGTTGGTGACTCCAGCGGTGAGTCTGAGGAGATTACATGCGATGTGTGCGGTGGGGCTGGCGAGGCAGAGCTATTGCTGTTGTGCGACGGGCGGCGGGGTCGATGCCCTGGGGCCTGCCACACCTTCTGCGATGGGTTGGGCAGGACAGTTCCCAGTGGACGATGGTTTTGCCAGACATGTAGAACCCGGCAGAATCAGGCTCGCGCGTGCCCTGCACCAAAGCAGGGCTCGGTGCAGCCAAAGGGGCGCGGAAAGTCCAGGAGGCGCTTGCAAGCTGAGGCCTTGCTGAGCACGCAGGTGCAGCAAGTCATGTCGCTTTCTGCGGCATCTACTGGCTTGCAAGCTGAGGCCTTGCTGAGCACGCAGGTGCAGCAAGTCATGTCGCTTTCTGCGGCATCTACTGGCAGCACAGCGCATGTAGCAAACGCTGCCACCAACGCGTCTGCAACAGCCTCATCGCAGAACTGCATGATTCAGAATCCCGTGAATCACCAGCCAACACCACGCCAAGAGAACATCGGTGCGACACAGGAAGTTAGCTCGCAGGCTTTGTCGTTGCAGCCAGAGCTCAAGAGAGATCCTGCCGAGCCCGCGATTAAGCACGAACCCGAGGCCTGGGGTTTCTAGCTGCATTTGCACTTGTGGTGGGGTAGATTTAGAGAGCTTGCAACTAGCATGACGTTGCGCTGACTGTTCAGGTTGACGGGCGCAGAGCTGCAGCACTTGCCCTCGAGACTTCAAGAGCACGTGACCAGCCGCCGGCAGCCGTGCAGGGTGTGAAGATGGAGCCCGAAATGGGTGGCTTCTTGCCCGCCGCAGCCCCGACAAGCCAGACACGAACGCCACACACTTTCTCCAAATTGAATCCCGCCCAGCCGCAGTCCATTGACCTGGACAGTGATGATGAGCACGTACAAGAGGGGCAGCCTCCTCCGCGCCGTGGCACGGCTGAAGCAAGGCATTTCAGGATGCTCTCTCGGCCTTGGCACATCTTGGCACATTTCCATAAGCCCCGCAGCCTGCCCGCGCTTTCTCAAAGCTCAGGTCCCTACAGCATTCTGCAGCTACCTGCAGAGTATGAGGCTTGCGCGGAGCAGCTACGGAAATTTGCCCCGCGGCTCTGCCAGTAGTGTTAGCAGGTCGGTTCTGTATTGCTGCTATACAGATCTATAGGCATTTAATTCACCACAGACATACGCAGCGGACATGAATCCGGGAATGCTGATAACACGTCTTTGCTTAAGGCCTCCACCTACTTCCTGTGCGAGCGCAGCATGCCTCTGGCAGCACGTACGGCTGAGCGTCTTTGGCAGCTGTCGCAGGCACCCGAACGCAAGACAAAACAGGAAGCGATGTATCGTGTCCCTGCAGTTCATTCCTGGCGCTTTCTCATTCAGCTTTTGGAAGCATGACCGGCTTTGTGCACAAGACCTGGTCAGGTGGGTCCCTGCCCACGCGTCTTGGCCAATGACACGGAGACACGCTACCGTCAGCTGCTTCACGTTGCGCGTGATAGCTGCCAGGCTAACAATACACAGTCTCATCATGACCTTAACATATGCCAGGCATGCGCATCGTGTCAATTGACCACGGATTTGAGGCAGGCTGCTAACAAACCGTCAGTGGAGGTGCACGCAATCAGCACATAATGCCAGAGACTAGATTAGTCCTTGTGGGACCTGCAGATCCATGGATTCGAGGCTTTGAGCTTTTTTGGCAAACTGCACTCGATCCTGCAGATGATGACCCATGTGGGCTGCGTTGTCTGCGGAAGAAGGACGTCATGCCGATAGAAACCTCCTGCTGCTGTGGGTTTACATCTCGCTAGAGGGTACTTTAATCAATCAGTCTAGCCCCTTTGCTGGCATATCTTCTCCACATCGAGGAAAGCCTCAAAAAGCAGTAGTTTATCCGAATGGGGAAACGTTGAGGCAGGGCTCCAAGCAGTGTTCCAAACAATGGTGCAGTTGTAGGTTACGTGCCTGGAGTGGCCGTTGTGGCCCTTAGCACGACGGGCTCCCAGGAGTGTCTGGGAACGCAGTCTGTGGTTTTGGAGCGCCAAGGGCTGAGCTCAGAGCGCTGACGGCTGACGGAGCTTTTGGCCCACACTGAAGCGCGCAATCAGCTTTCGCCTGTGATTCCTCGGTCACGCGGTTAGCCAGCCAAAGCTTGCTCAAAAACCGCACCGCATGCTACATGCGGATCTGTGGCCCCAAGGCATCCTCGCATCAGTATTGTAATGATCTAGAGGATTTTCACAGTATTTTCGCGCACGTTTTGGAGGGCAGTTAGATTGGGCTCATGCTGCTAACTGCCATGCAGATGAGGCCTCAGGGAAAAAGGTATGTGGCTCAACACGCCAGCGGTGGTATATTCCACTTGCCGGGACAGCAATCCTTGGCTAGGCGCCTCAGGATACAGATGTCTAGTATTCTCGCCATTCTTTGCGGGCTTAGCGGCTTAGTCCCTAGGGCCGTGGGCTGGCGGTGCCGTTGTGGGCTCTCCTTAAACATGCACGAGAGGGAACAGTGGAGCAGTCATCAGTTGTGAGAGCATCGCAGGAGCAACACTTACTGTGCGTGCGGTACAAAGGTGCCTTGGATGCCAGCATATTTTTTCGCTGTTGTTGTGAGGTGATCTGCGTGGGTTTTCTTACCTTGCAAAATGTCCATATGAGCGACAGTCAACATTCGGGTGGACATGACTTTAGTGGCTGACGCTGCAAACCCTGTAAAATGATAGGGGACAAGACAAAATGTGCTAAGTAGTCAGTGAAAAGGCGAACATGCTGCAAAACGATAGGGAGACAATTGAAGACGATAACCCCAAGCCCATGTCCATTAGCCAGGTATGGAATTTCGACCTTAGCTCATGTGTAAGAGCTGCTCTGCATAGTGCCCAGGTAGGCGAGGCAAGCGTGGCCGTATCCGACCCTCTGACATTGTGCGCTGCGAGCTTCAGTGTCGCCGCAGGTTGCGGGGCTACTGCGTGCCATCAAGTGTGGAAGGGGTTGTTGCATGTTCCTCTCGGCAGACCTTCATTTATGAAGCCAGATCCGGGGCCGGAAGGTAGAACTTACGAGAACGCATCAGTTTGAGAGGGTGGCCACACCAGCCGAACGTCGCAGAGTCCTCACCCTGTTGAGGCTTCTTGAGCTGATGGAAGGCGGCCATGGCCGCGGATCGAAGCTTCCCACCTGCGAGCTGCCACTGCGGGAAGCTGTGCTTTGGAGCAAAGTTGTACGTAACGTATGGCGCACTCCCAACCTCGACTGTCAGTGCCAAGTGCTTGTCATTGCCTACCTAACGTCAGGCATCATAGGACATCTTTCCACAGACCTGCTGATGAGCTGATGAGAGCAGTGCGTGTTCAGAATGTACTCGTATGGACCCGACCAGGCTGGCTGTGCGGGAGTAACTAACTTGTTGGGGCTTCAGCATTGCTTGCCTGGACTGAGGAAGTCACGAACTCTCCCAGAGCTCCGCAGCTGCAAGGTCGGCAAAAGTCAGTTCCCTTGGGGCAAGCCATGGGTTGATTTGAAGAATGAGGCGGCAGCATTCCACCCGCACGCGCCGCTGTTGCAGTGGATCGACTTCCTGGCGCCGAGCAAGGCACTCTTGACGGCATGAATCTCCTTGAGGTGCTCAAGTCAGAGCCGTGGTATGTGGGCCAAGCAGTGCACGTGGCCCAAGTGGGATCGCGGACTGCAAAGTATTCCAGCCCGAGTGTGGAATTCCACCCTCTTTTGAAGGAGGTCCTTCTCTCACTCCTTCGAGGTGATGCTGCAGGGCAAGATGTTCTAAAGCTGTATAGCCACCAGGCCCAGGCAATAGATGCCGTCCTGGTCCACAAGAAAGATGTGGTGGTCAGCACTTCCACCGGAAGTGGCAAGTCCTTGGTCTACTTGGTTGCGATATTTGAGGCACTGTTGCAAGAGGAGCATGCGACAGCTTTCTTGATCTTTCCAACCAAAGCTTTGGCGCAGGACTGGTTCCCTAAGAAGAGCTGTATGAAGCTTAGGCCCCGTATGAAAAGCAGTTTAGCTGCCGAGTGAGGACCAGATGCGCTCATTGAACAATGTGGCACAGGGCCTCATTCAGCGTGGCGTCGCGGCAGAAAGGCAGGTTTGTGATTGGGATGAACCATGAAATCTTAATGCCCCTGCTTACACCGAGCTCAGGCTGACGATAGCTTGTCTTGATGGAGACACGCCGGCTGCAGAAAGAAATCGTGTGAGGCGTCACATGCCTGCATTCTGTGAATTCGGCAAAATCCAGTTTATCACGCTGCTCGAGGGAAATCACATCAAGACCCTGAAACATGACAGTTCTCAAGCTTTGCACTTTTGACCGAAGGTGAAGCCCGCGTTGTGCTGACAAATCCTGCGGCTTGGTTGAGCACTGGGTTCGCTGGACAGCCTCGCTTTACATCGGATCGCAGCGACATAGCCCGAGAAGTTCACGACAAAAAGACCAGCAGTGCAGGATGTGCGACTGGGCATTCTATTCCAAGACCGTTGAGTCCAAGGACATGCTGCATAGCCACGTTCTGCCCCAGCATGTGGAGTACGGTCGCCTATTGCAGAATGCTCGCTACATCGTGCTGGACGAGGATTGCTTCAAAAGGGTGTACATGAGCTCACATTATGGCACCATGCCCGCATGCATTGCTTGCAAGAATTCTAAAAGGTGCACATCTACCGTGGAGCCTTTGGTGCGCATGTCTGCAGCATCCTCCGCAGGCACGAGCTTTACATTCCTAAGCCCTTTTGCATGCGTCCTGTCCAGCGGCCATGCGATTCGAATTCTGACGAGGTTGCGACGTCTTGTCGACGAGGCTTTGCTACAGTTTGTTGCCTGCTCCGCCACCGTCGCAAATCCAGGTGAGTCACCTGGCAAAATCTGGCCAAATTGATGTTGCCATCATTTTGAAATGCTCGAACAGAAGCGCATAGATAGCTGATTTTCAAGTGCAACACGGAGGCATGCGCAGCGCCTTTTCGGCCCTGACCGCGGTGATGTCGCTGTTGTCACCCATGACACCTCTCCCAGTGGTGGGCATGCGGCTCGTCCTACACATTGTTCTAAGGCAGTGGCTGTATGCCTAGATGCCTGTCCAAGTGAGGTGTACGTCCTTTGGAACCCGGCGTCCTTGGTCAAAGGCCTGTCTGTCGGGGGGTGTCGGCGCGTGAAACGCAGTGAGGAAGAGGTTGGCACCGAAAGCACACGTCATGTTGCCTGGCCCCTGGATTCAGGAATGTCCGAGGTGGGGCCCGGGCATCATGACCAGTTCCTGCTTCTGCTCTGTGCAGCTTCGGAGTTTCTGCATCATGCCTGGCCTAGGCCTAGTCCATGCCTAGTTTATGCTAGACTGCACTGTTTGGATCGTTGCAGCGAGCGTCTTGATCGCCTGGTGTAGGAGAGATCTTCGCCTGCTGCCAAGCGGATGCGCACCGAGGCAGGGGCTTTCAGAGAGGGAGAAAAGGAAAGGAAGTTCACGCTTCCCTGCGCACACCCACCTCTCGCAAGCACATGATAGAAAACATTGTCAGCCGTCATGATATGGCCTTACTAGCTGTACATTAATTGGCGGCAAGCCGACTAAACAATGCTTCGCCATACTCCGACAACACAGACATGGGGAGTCGCGTGGCGCATGGTCTTCCCAGCACACCTTCTACCACCTCTCAACGTTTGCAAGCAATTGTACAAACCGCTTGTGCATTTTGGGGGGGCAGACAGGACTGCATTTGAGATATTTGAGCAGCAAGAGTGCAGAACTGAAGTCCTCAATCCAAGGTTCCGGCTGGTTATCCTGGGCCCCTGGAAGTTGTTGAAGGCGACGGCGAGGAGCCCGCACAGGAGCTCAGTGCGGGCTTTGGAAAGAGGCTGAGTGTTGGAGTCAGCTTTCGTGGCAGGAGGTGGTGTTGGGCAGCTACAACCAGAGCCTTGCATCGCCCATCGTAGAAGTGACGCGCTTGCTGGCCTGGCTGGTTTCGCGCGACCAAGCTCACGTTTATTTTTGCCTTACTGGAGTCAAGCCTCCCGATTGGGCGACTACTGTACCAGCTGCAGCAGCAAACAGACCCCGCCCCCCCAAGGCAACATTTCAGTGCTGGCCTTCTGCAAGTGGAGGTGGCAGACAGCCCTGGCTGCGAATGATTTTGATGACTCGCAACTTGTGATGTATTCAGGCACGCGCCTGGGTCATGTCAGCATCCAGGAGCCTTGTGGAAATCATTCTCCAGGACGTCAAGGATGCCCTGAATGCTAGTGAAGCGCCCCGACCAAATTTGGGGCTTTCATTTTTCTGGGGTACCGAAGCTTCCCACTGTCCAGAGTATCTTAGGGTCGAGCCGTTCACTCGAGATTCGAGAAATCTTGCAAGTTCAGGTTCCGGATCTGAGTTCCCGTGTCGTCTCCTACCGTGCTGGCAACTCTGTTGCATCTACCCGACAGCTGCAGCATCCTGCTGCCGTTAAGATTTGCATTTGACGTCTGATTTGCGCTTGAGTGAGGCTATCCCGCCCGTTTGCGCCGGCAGCTCTTCAGTCTGCACCGGGTGTGGCACATGTTGGATGGGGGCTGCAGGGATGCTGACGAATCCGTAATAGCAAAATGCGTGTGCTCGGGAATTCTCCATCAGGTTGGAGCGAGACATTTTCTCTCGTCAGGCTGGGGCAACAGTTTGGTGCGGCAATCCTGGATTGGCAAATGCTGGCATTTCTTGCGTGAGGTCCTAGGCGTCACCTGTACCAATGCGCTTGAGCTCGGCATAGACATTGGCCGTCGCTCTGCTGTGCTAGTTAGCTAAACTCCTGGCATTTTGATGGCAGCATGACAACGCCTACCAAGATAGACAGATTGAGAGGTCATGCATAGCATTGCATAGCCACATACTTCCAAATGGCAAATTACAAAGTCTTGCCAAGGTTTGGACTGTACAATCTCTTTGGGCTTCCCTGGCAGCGTGGCATCCCTGCGCAGCTATGCTGGCATGCGGTGGGGACACTTTCAGGTGTTGAAGACCCATTTTTGCGGAAGCTATGACATCTTTCTTATGTTTTGCAAGCAGGTAGGGGTGGGCGAAAGAGGCTGTCGTAGTGGAGAGCTTGCAGTCGGCATGAAACAGGCGCATCACTTCGGGAGACTGCAGCATACAAACTTCCATGAATTTCACGAAAGCCAGTTCCATGGCCATGGCACAGATCCCACATTGAAGGCCTGAGTGCCTGGCTAACTGTTGTAGGCTTTGGCTTGCCCCCCAAGTTTCTGGTTGTGGGTGTTACGGAGTGCGATCGAGGCCAGCAGTTTGGCAGAGCTGGAAGGGCTGGGCATCCTGGGATCTCCTTCTTTGCATCTCGGCTCGATGGCTTCAAGAGGCGGCTCTGGTGTGCTGCTACGCGTTAGATACGAGTTTGTTCGCCTCAATCTCTCACGTTCACAGTATCTTGCCCCAGACAGCAGCTGACGGCCCTCGTGCAGAACATCTTTTTCCCTAAACTTGCAGAGGTTGGATTTGAGGATCCCGTGGACCAGCACTTCATGCACCGACCACGTGAGCTTCTAGCAACCTGCATTGAAAGCAGGTTTCCTGTGATGATGTTTCAGGCTAGCGATGAGAGGCATCTTTTCCGTTGAAGAGTTCCATCTAAAGCTGGCTGTCCGCAGGCTAGGAGTCTTCTGGAAGCTAACACTCCACTATGCTTCACCGCGTGCTACCGTTAGTTGGCACTGCACGGCTCAGATGTGACTTGGAGCCCCTGGAGCCTCAGAGGACTCATGAGTTCTATTGCTTGTTGCTTCATGTGTGATGAGCACCTGACTTTGCTTTGGATTGTGGATGGGCACCTGACTACGACTACTGTATGGGGACTCACGAGGTTCTAGTACGTATGAAAATGCTTTGAACATTGGTGCTGCATTTGCAGCCTCTTAGGCTCGTCGCCCAGAATCTGTGGCAGTGGTGCCGGGGAACATTGCCGTACTCCTGCTGCACCGAAGGGAGCACGCCTTTAGCTACCTTATAGTCAGAAGCTTGACTTGACAGGCAAATTTAGCTTTACCATGCTTTGCAGCTTCGCAGGTGCTGCGAGCCCACTTGCCGTGCGTGGCCTTTGAGCGCAAGATCAAGGCCGAGGATGCAAGGCGCGGGCTTCGAGATTGTTATTGCGTTTGCTATCTCTTTTTTTATTCTCTCTCTCTCTCTCTCTCTCTCTCTCTCTCTGCGACGGTTATGCAAGACTGCCTCGATGCCACGCGCAGGTTCTGGCATGAGGGTGGCGAGAACTCGGCCTGGCAAGCAGCGGTACGGCAGCTTGCCCGCTTGACAGATTTGGGTCATTGAGGTTCGGCAGATTTGTCCGCTGTTTGGCTACAAGCTGCCAGACAGCTTGACTGGAACAGCAGCGTGTTGAAAAAACCTGGGTGGATGTTGCCAAGGAAGTGTCTGGCAGAAGGAAGCTTGGAGGAGGAACACGAGGCGTCGAGACTGCAAATGATGGGCTAGGGTCTGAGTAGAGTTGAGAAGCTAAGATCAGTGAGAAAGGCTCCCATGCTTGTGTAGTCTAGTCATCCAACGGCAATCCTCGGCCAGGTGCAGCTCCCCCAAGAATGGTTGCTGTTTGCAGGGAAGATGGTCCCTAGTTCTTCTCCTACGAGAAACAATGAACCACAAATTTCAAGACACGAGCAGACAGCTTCAGCTAGCCTAGGATTTAAGGCCTGCCTATAAGTCCAGGATGCCTCTTTTTAAGACATTTTGAGAGGAGTCCATTTTCAGGGAGGGCATGCGAACAACATAGTCATTTTGTTGTTATTGTTTTGCAGTTAGGTAGGTTTGAGCAAAGCCGGGGCAATCAGGATCACTGCGGACTATTGTAAGTGTCCAATTCGGTTTCTCGCTGGCACTATAGACTCACTTTAACGCTTGTTTCATTTTTGCAGGATGACGCCCTGGTCTTAGTGCCGGCTCGACGGTGGGCCACGCGACCGGGAGGACAGGAGTGCAACTGACGTGGGACTCTTGCAGGGTCAGGAGTCAGGAAGATTCGCACATGCCTCAGCTCACGTGTCTTTTTCCAATGGTAAAAATCGGATCAATCTCGGTCGGCGACATTGACTACGCACGGCATTTATCTTGCAGCTCTGGAAAAATTAGGGTAGGGCCAGAAGCTTGTGCATTTCAGTGGTGGCTCACGAAGTCTTTCTGAGATTCTTTGACGTCTGCCAGGACCACACCGAGCAGTGTCCATCCGGGCTGTGGAGGTACATTGCTTACATCCGCGGTCTTGTGCTGTATGCTGGATGATTGATCCACCAGCAGCCATACCCGTCGACTGATTCGAGGACCATTTCGAGGTGGTGGAAGAAGTGGCAACGCAGCAGGCCTTAAGCTGAGTGGCAAGATCTAGCAGCAGCTGCTACCCCAAAGATATTCATTTGAATGGCAGGCACAAAGCCATGACCACGGTGGCTTCTTGCAGGAGCAAAGGCGCCGCCGTATAGCCGCCACATTTTAAGGTTTGGACCCTGGGTTCGTTAGGCATTCGCTGGTTTGATTGGGGCTTGGTACTGGGTTCTCCATGCACCAGCAGCCTGTGGCAGTCGCGATGCGCTGGCAAGTGGAGCTGTTGCTGCTTTTCGCAAGCTGGACGAGATCGATGTCTCCAAGGCTTGGATCCGCGTTCAAAGTTCAGAGTGAACATCAGCAAGCAGGTTTGACCCATGGGAAAAGTGGCCTCAGGCCTTCTACTCGCTGCATCCAGGAGCTGTCTATCGCGGCCCAGTATGATTGAGAGTCCTCATTGTTCTGCTGCGAGTTTCTTGGCAGTTGTGTGTGCCGCTTTGTTTGAGGCTATCGGGGATCTGAATACTTTGTCACAAACCTGGACCTGAAGCGGAGACGGGCAACGGTGAAGAAGTGTGATACACCCCTTGCGTACTACACTCGAGCCTTTGACCACACAGAGGTTCGCATCCACACGCGCGAGAAGCACGCGACCTCTGGACCAGCAAAGGTGTTCTTAGGCAGGGTGGAGATGGAGAGCCGCGTGAAGAGCTTCAAAAGATTCTGGAAATCACAGGATGCGCAACAAGAACCTGAAGTGGAACTCAGTTTACCCAGTTGGGGCTACTGCACGCGCGGTCTTTGGTTTGAGGACCCAGTTGGTGTGGCCCGGCGGCCGGAAATGTTTGCTTGGAAGAGAGAGGGCGCCGATGGTTCGCATCCAGCAGAGGGCGCAGAGCAGTGGACCTGGGGCTGCGGATGGGCTGGGGCACACGGTGCAATGCATGCCTTGCTGCATGTGTTCCCCCTTTTCGTCCTGGCGGATCGACGTGACCTAGATGCTGCCTGCATGGACGAGCATGAAGCACCACCCATGGAAACTTGCCAGCATGCTGCTGGCACTTGTCCCAAGTGTCAGTCTTTGTTCCAAGCTTCAACATGCCTTACAGTAGCATGCCCAGGACCACCCTCGCCTTATGATCTTCGATGCAAAGGACGAGGCCAGAACACTCCGCACTCTGAGCCCTGAATTCAAACACCTCCCGAAACCTCCAGAGCTCCCACCTGAAACGTCCTGCATTGCTCTCTCTCTCTTTCTCTCTCCCCCTCCCTCTCCTCCTCCCTCTCTCCCTCCCTCTCTCCGTCCCTCTCTGCCTCCCTCTCTCCCTCCCCTCTTTTTCGAGGGTGGGGACGGTACGTACATTGAAGTAGCAGCAGCTGGAGGTGTTTGAGTCATTTGAGCATCCAACCCTCCAAGATGCTGCAGCGCTTTGCAGGGCCTTGGCCTTTGTGACGCAGCCTTCCCCCACGCTTTCGCCATGCTTCGCGAGGCTCGCCGCCTGGCCTCTTGGCAGACAAGGACTTGTTGTGAGCCGCTCCAACAGCTTCAATCGGGCAGTGCCCCTGCTGTATGAGAACTAGGGCTCGTTTCAGGACTTTGTTTTGAAATGTTCTGAGCCATTCCCGAGAAGATCGATGTTGTCCAGCATCGGCTGGGTAAACACATGCCAGCATCACTTCCTTGATCGGGTCAGCCATGTTTTTCATACCTTAGCTTTGTTGAAAACATTTTGGAGCACCGACAGCCCCCCCAAAGTGAAACACAAGCCTTTGAGCCTCAAGTGTGCTGCCCACCGTCTGGCGGAACGAAGAAAGAAATTGTGAAGCGATGTCAAGCGGTTCCTTGTTTTGTTGGCGCTGCGGAGACCTGAGCTATGCTGATTGGCCTGATTGTTGTGCGTCATTTGCCTGAGCAACAGGTCGAAGATTGCCCCTGTCAGCACGGCTGTCCTGCCTGTATCATCGACCCACATTGCCGCGAATACAATCGCTTCCTTTCCAAGCGTGGGGCCCTTGCAGCTTGGCAGCATCAGTTAAGGGTTGGGTCGCCAATCGTTTTGCATGATGGTGCGAAGTGCAGCAAGGAGTGGCTGCAGGGACTTGAGTCTGGGAATATAGCGATGGGTGGCATGGACCTTCACGGCGGCCCTGCTGATTGAATTGGTCCTCGTGCTGCACAATCGCGACAATCTTGCAGATCAGGAACTTTGGCAGTTGGGACCCCGCATTGTGGCGTTCGTGCTGGATGTGCCCGCCGACATCATGGACGCAGCAGGCAACTGAGGCGGTCCTCGAGAACTGAGCCCGCGCACTTGTGAAGATGACTGCTTCCCATAGTCTGGAGATGGTGCAGATTGCCGACAGGGATCTGACGCACGCGCTCCTGGAAAGATGTGCGCCTTTCTGCCAAGCCCAAGCCCCCCTACAAACCGTGCATTCATCTCACTATATCTTCAGCATGGCTGCTGGCTCCCGAAGAATCCCAGCTTCTGCGCAAGGCCACAACTCTCCCTGAAAACTTCCACGCAGCAGTCTCCGCTTTTGAGAGCGCAGGCGCGTTGCTAGGTTTGCGTGGGTGGAACGATTTTCGGCGAATTGTCACGACTTTGCCCCACATGGTAGAGTAACATTTAGAAGACAGTCTCGAAAGAAAATTTATGTCTGGTTTGGGAGTTCTGGCAGCTTTGCTAGAATATCTTACTGGTGCTTAGTAGGGAATATAACCCCTGTACACTATATTCCCTTCCTCTTTATTAACTTATTAACCGCCAGTCAGCAATGGTGACATAGCCAGGAACCCCAAACCCTAAACCTCGTGTCTAAACCTCCATAGCTGCTTAAGGGCCATCCTTGTTGTCTCAGGCACAAGTCCTTCTTGAAACCTTGAAAAGGGGAATAATATGGGGGTCACACGTGGGGCTATGTAGGGGCATATAGATAGATAGGGTTTGGAGAATTTCCTCTTCATTTCCGCACCAACCTTTTCCTCGTCTCAAACCAGGTGAGTAGAGGGGTGTTAATTAATTGTAAAGCATACTGCCCCCCCAAATGTGTGTACATCGGGTACTCGTGTCTAATGGTGAAACGAACTGATCACTATCAGGGATGGATAGGAGGGCTCTTGGGCAGAGTGGAGCTCCCTTTTCTGTGATTTTCAGAAGAGAGTGGTGTGAAGGGTGAGCAGGTTTTTGGGAACGCGCGAGGCGCTTGTTTGATCCAAAATTCTCCATTTAGACAATTATGCAGCATTGCTCTTGTAGCCCATTCATTCACATAGGTGCACGCATTGCATTTAGACCACTTTCTGCCGCACGTACGCAAACAGGCGCAACAGAATGCTGGTTGCCTCTCTGTGCAGCTAACTTTGGGATGTCTGTTGTGGCCGCTCCTTTACTTGCTTCAAGTGCGCTACATATACGTTCTACATGTGGAATTTTATTCGGGTTTTCCGGATTAATATATATATATATCTCTCTCTCTCTCTCTCCGGCTCTCTATCGGTTGCCTCTAGCATGTTACGCAGTATGTTATTGAGGTTTTTGGAAGTACCCTGAAGGCTTCTACCTAGATGTCGAGGCGGGCTTTGCTGGGGCCTACACGCTTGTGTTGGAGCGAGATCTACGCATTGGAAAGTGTTGTGTGTGGTACAGTGTGCTCTAGATTTGGAGTTCTTAGGGGGGTTAGTCAATTTTGGTCGCTTCTCAAGTTTCAAAAACACTAACGCGTCAGACATCTCGCTAGCTGATGAGGCGAGCGGAGGACACTGTCACCAGTGCGGAACCGACTTGGGCGAGGAACCCCCAGAAGGCTGAAAACACCCCGAAGGCGAGCCCGACCCCAGAATTGAAGCGAGGAAGGAGCCCCAACTGACTCGAACCGAGCCGCAACGACTTCTTTGCAGAAAGTGAATTTTGACAGCCTGCAAGCCAGCAGCCCAAAAACAACTGTTAATTTAGTGCCAGGCTTGATTTTTAATGCGTCATGTGCTAAAAACTTCGGCAGGCCCAATTACTTGCAAGTCACAGAAGTCGTAGCCCGGGAGTCTAGACACCAAATGCCTCTGCAAGTTGTCTGCGCCCCTTACTCACAAGCTGTTCCAAAGCGTTCCGCAAGCCATGTAAACCCGTGAGACAGGATGAACCGTTCCCCCGCCCCCGCCTCCATTTTTTCATTTCATCATGTGGTGCATATTTGCAATGGCCTCCTGCTAGGCAGATGGAGGTGCTGGGGTAGCTTTTCGTCCACCCGTTTTGCTGACGAGGGCTTACTGGGAACTGCTGTAAATAGTAAGTATGAATTTACATTTTAACTGGCATGCATATTTTATTTGTCCTCCATGTTGGAATGGAAATTTGACACAAGGTCCAGAGCTGTCCATGCCAGGGAAGCCGTGAAGGGAATGGGAACTCCTGATTTGAATCCTTGCTTTTTGTATGGTAGCTCTTACGTCGACGTCACTGTGCTTTTGAATCCCATCATTAGCCCAGCTTCGCAGTACAGACCAGGAAAGTCAGCCCGAGCAGGCCAATTCTCCTCATGTTCCGAAGCAAAGCAATGCAACAAATAGAAACAATTGGTGTCCAGCTGTCCTGGATACAGACCAGATGCATCCCAATCCTTCAGCTTGCAGTATAGGGTGGTTAACGACACCAAAGCATTTTGAAGCAGGCCTTCCAGCCCTTAATGTTGGAGCCTGATTCGTGTGGGGGCCCCCCCAAACAAAAAGGGGAGCCTCTGTAATCAAAAGGCCTCAACACGAATTGGGGGTTTGGGGGATCTTATTTTTCCTATAAAAATTCAATAAGGAAAGAGGGACCCTTCGGCTTCTATCAAATTCATAAGGACTTGCTCAGCTTAGCTTTCAAACAAATAGGAAGGGCAGGCAGGATCCTCGGCCTTCACAATAAAAGGCCCGGCCTTGAAAACACGCATAGAAAATTTCTCTGAAATCAATTAGAAATCGAATTAAACACAACAAATTAGAATGGCTTCACCACTACGCGGGCCGAAAAACCTTGACATTATTGAGCCCGCCAAATCATTTACATTATTGAGGATCAGGGGCTTCTGCTGGACTACCCCCTTTGGAATTCGATTGGCTCGCCTGTTGAAGTAAGCGGTTTAACAAGAAATGCGATTGTTTTTGATGGCATCAAATTGCAGGTTCGCGAGGTAATAGGGCTTGTCCTTCTCATGTGCAGGCCTGGATTTAAAACCAAAACCATTTTGGCCTCATCAGAACCTTCTCCAAGAATTTTTGCCGTCAGAAAAACTTTACATTATTGGGACCCCCCAAATCGAATAAGGGTCCAGAATGATTTTCACAGACCGTACTTTATTGGAGACCCCCGCCCTAATGGGGATTCAACATTAATTGTTCTCAAGCCAAAGGCTCTAGCATTCCACTGTCCGAACAACGCTCGCGCACTTCGAGATGCCACGGCCTTTCGCCTGTTTGTGTTTGGGGAGGGGCTAAGAACAGGGGAAAATCAAGACCATAGTGCCGTAGTCTACGTCCAAGGGCTTCGTGTCGTGTTGACAGATCTGGATCCTATTGCCCAGACTGTTGCAGGCTTCGAACCAAGCAAATCAGAGCAGGCAACCCGCGTGCAAGTGGAGGCATGGCAAGCGTCCCTTCCTCTCGATTTCTGCCTCTTGTTTTTTATCCTGTATACAGATGCATCAAACTCAATTGTGAAGTGCTTGGGGGGGCGGCACCTTGTCAGATGACAACCTTTCGTTTGGTGACATCCCCCAGACTTTGGCGCAAGGCGCCTTTGAACCACGAGCAGAGCTATGAAGTGCTGTGCCCAAGCTGCATTTTTGGCCGTTTCTAATCAGGGCTTTCAAGAACTCACTGGACAGCACGCGCTTGGTGGCGCAATTGCGTGGTGCAAGCAACGCAGCCAAGTACTTTGCAAGGAAGCTCCTCCACTTGTCTGAGCCCCAGATGCGCACGGTTGCGGGCGTTCTGCACCACTCAGCTCTACAGTATTATGTTTGACCATGTTCTTTTTTCCCCCTCTGGGGTTGCGGTTGCGCAAATCGAAAGCTGCCTATACGAAGGATTTGCTGAAGGTATCCGATCTCCCATTGTTTTGACGATGAACTGCCTACCCTGGCCTACCTACTGGCACACTCCCAAAAACAAGAGTGTGTACACTTTGGGGTGTGGCCCCCAGAAAGTGTATACATCGCGGTCAGCCAAGTATTAGCAAGGCTGGACGATTTGGACGACGTCAGTGAAGTGCACCACAACGTCCGAAACTCAATGCTTCCGCACGTGGCTGCCAACTTCCCATGGACCAAATGGGTCACACGCTGCAAGATTGGGATGACTGCTGTCCTGAGCTCCGCCTCTCCTTGCAGTCGATGAACTCTCTTTGTGGCACCTTCTGCCATCTACTTTTTTTTTTTTTTTTTC